GGACGATCTTAATTTCCGTTGAGAGGTGTTGTACTTAAGTAATTCACTGATGTAGTAAGGCGCTGTTCCACTGAGAGCTTTGTAGACCAGTAGGAGAATTTTAAAAATTATACGGTAACAAACAAGTAACCAGTGGAGCTGTTTTAGGACAGGGGTTTAGGAGCTGGAATGCCACCCAATGCTTACCCAACGTTTTAAAGATGCTATTTTTGGCGCTCCCCCAAATCTACACAGGTGTATTTCACTTGTGAAAGTCTATCGATTTGGACAGTGCTTGGGTGAGAAATTCTCGTCCATATCAACTTTTTTTTCTCTGGTAAGTTCTCGCGCGTTTAGAGATACGCCCCTATCGCAGTTTTGGTGTCGGGATCTCTGGACTTTTTAAAGATGCCAGACTTAGCCCTTCCTCAAATTTACACACCTGTATTTCACTTCTGGTAGTCTGTCGCTTTGGACAATGCTTGAGTCGGAGATTCTCGCCCATTTATATTTTTTTTCTCTCGCGTGTCTTCGCGCGTTTAGAGATGCGCCACATCCGCGACTTCGGTGTCGGCATCTCAAACTATATTTACTGGACTTTTTGAAGGTGCTAGATTTGGCCCTTTCTCAAATCTAAACACGTGTATTTCACTTGTGGAAGTCTATAAATTTGGACAGCGCTTACGTTCGTGATTCTCGCCCAAATCAACTTTCTTTTCTCTAGTAAGTTCTCGCGCGTTTAGAGATGCGCCACACTCGCGTTTTAGACGCGGGGGTCCCAACCAATGCTTACCTAACTTTTTAAAGATGCTACTTTTAGCCCTCCCCCAAATCTACACAGGTGTATTTCACTTGTGGAAGTCTACTGATTTGGACGGTGTTTGGGTAAGAGATTCTTGCCTATATCAACTTTCTTTTCGCTAGTACGTTCTCGCGCGTTTAGAGATGCACCACATTCGCGGTTTTTGTGTCGGGATCTTAAACTATGTTTACTGGACTTTTTAAAGATGCTAGATTTGGCCCTTTCTCAAATCTACACGCGTGTATTTCACTTGTGGAATTCTGTCGCTTTGGAGAGTGGCTGGGGTAAAGATTCTCGCCCATTTATATTTTTTTTCACTCCCGTGTTTTCTTGAATTAGTTTAGAGTCCCTGGGACTCAGAAATATCGCCCAAGTTCCTCGAAATCGACCCCAAATTAATCAAAATCACGCTGCACGTAGCCCGGTCTCGGCGACTTTGAGCACTGTCCAAATCGATAGACTTCCACAAGTTAAATACACGTGTGTATATTTGAAAGAGGGCTAAAAGTTGCATCTTTTAAAGGTTAGGTAAGCACTGGTTGGGATCCTCACACCTAAAACGCGAATATGGCGCATCTCTAAACGCGCGAGAACTTACGAGAGAAAAGAAAGTTGATATGTACGAGAATCGTCAACCTAAGCGCTGTCCAAATCGATAGACTTCCACAAGTGCAATACATGTGTAGATTTATGGGAGGGCTAAAAGTTGCATCTTTTAAAGGTTAGGTAAGCACTGGTTGGGATCCTCGCACCTAAAACGCGAATGTGGCACATCTCTAAAGGCTCGAGAACTCAGATGAGAGAAAAGAAAGTTGATATGGGCGAGAATCTTCAACCTAAACACTGTCCAAAAACGATAGACTTCCACAAGTGAAATACACATGTGTAGATTTGAGAAAGGGCCAAATGTAGCATCTTTAAAAAGTCCAGGACGCATAGTTTGAGATGGCGACACCGAAATCGCGAGTGTGGCGCATCTCTAAACGCGCGAAAACACGCGAGTGAAAAAAAATAGAAATAGCAAGACTCTCCAACCCAAGCGTTGTCCAAAGCGAAAGAATACCACAAGTGGAATACACGTGTGTAGATTTGAGAAAATGCCAAATCTAGCATCTTTAAAAAGTCCAGTAACCATAATTTTAGATCCCGACACAAAAACCACGAGTGTGGCGCATCTCTTAACGCGCGAGAACTTACAAGAGAAAGGAAAGTTGATATAGGCGAGAATCTCCAACCCAAACACTGTCCAAATCGATAGACTTCCACAAGTTATATACACGTGTGTAGATTTGGGGTAGGGCTAAAAGTTGCATCTTCAAAAAGTGAGGTAAGCACTGGATGGGATCCCTGGACCTACAACGCGAGTGTGGCGCATCTCTAAACGCGCGAGAACTTACGAGAGAAAAGAAAGTTGATATGGGCGAGAATCTTCAACCTAAACACTGTCCAAATCGATAGACTTCCACAAGTGAAATACACGTGTGTAGATTTGAGAAAGGGCCAAATGTAGCATCTTTAAAACGTCCAGTAAGCACAGTTTGAGATCACGACACCAAAATCACGAATGTGGCGCATCTCTAAACGCACGAAAACACGCACGAGAGAAAATATAAATGGGCGAGAATCTCCGTCCCAAGCATTTTCCAAAGCGACAGACTTACACAAGTGAAATACGTGTGTAGATTTGAGGAATTGCTAAAAGTAGCATGTCTGAAAAGTTAGGTAAGCATTGGTGGGGATCCCTGCACCTAAAACGCGAGTGTGGCGCATCTCTAAACGCGCGAGAACTTACG